ATTTTCTAACTTCAGTGATTTGCGCCTCAACGCTCAGATCGTTCAAATCGCGCTGCTCTAATCGTGCTTGAGGCGCCGCAGCACTTCCTGATGCTGATTGAAGTGCATCCACCATAGACTTTGTATGTAAACCTGATGCTCCTGATGTTGAAATCGCGTTTGGTGTGAACATAAGTGTGAAAAAATAAATAAAATAAGGGAAGGTAACACTACGTAAAATAATAAATATTATTATGGAAGCTAATGCAACAAGTTAAATATACCAACAGCTAACATTAACAGCTAATTGCTAACGGCTAAGACAATTGTCACTCAATCAACGTCACACGTTTTTGTCTCCTTCAAGCTGAAGACAAACACATTGATGTTAGTTTGTTAGCTAGCTGTTAGCGGACTTAAAGTTGGCAAAGCCTTATTTTCCAGTAGTTAATTTGGTCAGTGAAAGGTTTTCAAAGTCGATGAAAAAGCTAATTCGCCAAGCAAAAAGAAATTAGTTCCACTATATTAGCTGGTCATTGATTAGCCAAACTGCTAACAAACTATTGATCAAGACTAACTTTAAAAGACTACAAGAACTGGCTGTTTTTAAACTGTTGATAAGTTATTTGTAGTTTAAAATCTCTGGATATGTGCGTAAACATGAAGATGTTTTGAAGCTATGGCTGTGTCCAAAACGGGGGGTCCGAATTCCTCGGCCGCGTATGTCACAGCGCCGCAACGGAGGCCGTCAAAAACCGAAGACTCCTCTGCTGCAGCCGACAAATGCGTCCTTCTTTTGGCCCGAATTCATGGACAGGTCCGATGGATCCTTCCCGGCCCACTATATCCCATAATGCATTGCGACCCGACCGTAGATTTTTTATGCTAGTAATGGTGGACGAAGCGAGAGAAAAGAATATGTTTTAAATAAAAATGTGGCAGTGTGAAATTTTAAATTTTCAAGCGGTTGTGTTGTTAATGTTTTTGTCATTTGTATAGACATGTTTTTTAAAAAGATATTTTATTACTTTTATCTGTTTTGTGCACTTGTTTTATGAACGGTTACTTTTTTATCTGCTCAGGACTACGGATGCCACAAATGATTATTTTAATAATCGATTAATCATCGATTATTTATTCGATTAGTCGACTAATCAGATCATACATTAATTGAATATAAAACATAGTGCTTATCACGTCAGAATGCAGCTGCTATTATATAACCATCNGGACAGAAAGGCAGACGTGGCAGTGGAAGGTGTCAAAGCAGTTTGTAGAGAAAAACAAAGTAAAGAACAACAAAAAAGTGAACGATTAATCGATTATTAAATTAGTCATCGATTATTTTAATAATCGATTAGTCGTCGATTAATCGATTAATCGTGGCAGCCCTACTCAGGACTACGGATGAAATTTAGCTGTTGTGCTGATTCCGGCGCATTTGTATTCACAGAATATTAATTAATGTGCATTTTCCTTTTAAATAAATAAATGAAATTTCTGGAAGAAATAGCCATGCACCTACAGCGGGTCCATTAGTTCTTCAAATATTACCTTTAAGTTAACTTTATTGTTTTGTGATATTAATAACGTTAATATATTTATATTTTTCTAATTTCAATCTAATCTGTTTAGCGTTGTCCTGGTTGATAGGCGACAGAACGTAGGCCGGGGTGAGGACGGGAGGCTAGACCGTCCAAATTCAGACACTTTTTTCCGGTCTATCAAGGACCCGGTCCACATCGACCGGGTAGGCCGGGTCCTTCGGAGGACCTGGCCTAATGTTGTCGACACGGCCCAAATGTTTAGATCTGTTGATGTTAGTTTGTTAGTTAGCTATAAGCGAACTTAAAGTCAGAAAAATCTAATTTAGAGTGAGTTAATCAGTGCGCTAACGATTTTTAAAGTTAGTTAAAAAAGCTGATCTGCTAAATGAAACATTAGTTCCACTTTTAGCTGTTAGCTGAGTTACGGAACCATTAACCAGCACTGGTCCTGACCAATCGTCTGTGCTCRTTTCAGAAGCTCGTTTTAGAAGCAYCTAACTGCTT